CTGTAAGTCATTGAATATTAAACCAAAAATGACAAAATTATAGTCTAAAATCATGTACAAACTCTAAATGACAAGTTGAAAAAAAAACTCGTTTATCAATCTGACTTCAAACGAATTAGATATGCATGTTTTAAAACTTTCACAAAATACAAAAAATTTGAAAAACTAAAAACTTTCAGCTTTGATATCTCGATTTTGGGGGACTATAAGTTAATGAACATAAAACTAAAAATGTCAAATTTATAGTCTAAATTCATGTACAAACTCTAAACTGCATGTTAGAAAAAACCATATGTCAATCCGACTTAGAACGAATAAGATCTACATAACCGATTCCGGCCCCTAAAAATAGTTTCGGTTCCTAACACCGGTTCCAGTTCTTAGACCCGGTTTGCCCGAACTCTATGGAACCAAACCTGGATTACCTAGAACCCGGATAAAGCTAGTTTTTAAACCAGGAACCGAAACCGGTTCTATATATTCCAATTTTGGCTCCGGTTTGATTCCGGTTCCGGTCAGGTTTAAATCTCATCCCGACCCCAGGCTAGGGATGAGCGTGGGATGGAACCGGTACCGACCGGTACCGTTCCCGATTTCCCAAAAACCGAATTCGATCAAAAGTTAATCTCGAGTACCGAACCGAATTAAAATCACCGGTACCGGTACCGGGAATGGTACCGGTTTTTGGTACTAGTACCGGTACCGGCGGTACCGAATCCTGAGTTTTGTGTATTTAGAGTACAAAGTATCGTCCCATATTTTTAAATTCGGTACGGTTCAGTACCGGTTCTAGGACGGGATCGGGATTTGGAAAAAATTGTTCATCCCTACCCCAGGCTGTAAGGTCAAAATAATAGATTTTAGAAAATAATTGCATTCACGATCCTAAAAATTATCCAAATATATTCATATTCTCAAGACCCTAAATCTAACTATAGTCGGTGTAAGTAGTAGAGGTGGAAGAGTTTTTTATATTTATATGACTATTTATAGATGGTTTATTAACTAATAGACTGATTATTGGGTTTCAAGGTTGGTTTGTTTTGTTTGGTCTATTGGGTGGTTAGGCAATATACATCCGGACATTATATTGCATGTCACTTAACTTATAACCCAACAATAAACCACTAAGAATGTATTCCTTAAAGAGGTGAGTCTACTCACAATTGCATCAAAGGACTCATGGTATTCTTTATTAGGCTATCATGTGTATTTTAAGGAGACTAGAATGAAACACTTTTCTTCGAGTATAATAACAACATTCCAACATTTTATTATTATTAACACATGGTTCCATATATAACACACCCAACAAAATGGAACCAAAATCATCATATTCCCAAAATAGATCAAACGTCATTTCGTCTGTCTAACCTAACCTACATTATCCAATCAATTATTGACTCTACTTCAAAGTACTCCACAAGAAATGTATCATATCAATTCTCACACACAACAAATTCACCTTTCAAGATTTATTTCTAAACTTGTAACATATTTGCAATGTTATTGTCTCCTTGAAAAAACGGATGATAAATCCTTACTCCTTCCTGGTAAAACGGCGTTTGCATTTCTATCATACGCGACACCTACACAACCACCATCATATCCTTAGCATCATCAAAATACATATGCATGTATCATGTATGTATGTATGTATGTATGTATGCATGTATGTAAAGAAAGAGAGAGACATACAGCCCGACGAAAAGCAAACATTTCCTCTTTTCCAGAAAGCATGGAAATGATGCCAGCTGGCGCACCTCCTGAACCAATATTTCCCTCTGCTAAAACATCACGTCTTAGCTTTGAACCTTCTGTCTCTGTTTCAAATTGGAAACTGCTTACAAAAATAAAACATTTCCAAATTTTCAATAAACACTAATGTTACACAATATATAAATTGTTTATATTTGTTATATTTGTTATTTTACACAAAAATAAAAAAAGACTCGCCTTTCTAAATCAAAAAGAGTTCCCTCTTCTGTTCCTTGAAATAGTTCATCAATGGAAGAAGCTGCTGAACAATACAAACAGCAATGATGGTTGTATAATTCATCAACCAAAATTATAAATCTCCGAGCCTGAAAATAATTAAATTACCAAAATACCCTATCAAAACATTATCCAAATAAAATAAAAAAAAAAAGTAATAATTTCTAATTTTAAAGTTTAACCTTGTCACGAATCTGCATACTCATCATAGGAATGTCGGAGATGAAAACCGTATGATAATTCTTCGCCACAGCTATATAATCTGCCGCCCCTACCTAATTTCATTTTTATTATTTAATATTTATAAAATCAAATTAGTAAATATTTTAATTAATTAAAAAAAATCATAAATTATACCGGACGACCACATAAATATTCAAATGTAAATTTGGCTACTCCATTACAGCTTTCCGGAACTTCAAGTCTTCTGTAATTCATATTTCACTCGTCAATAACAATATATAAAAAATAAAAATAAAAACTATTAGAATTTTAAACTTTTTTAATTAATATTTACCTCCCAAACATTACTGATATGGTTTCAGATTTGACTTGTTGACCATAACTTTGTATAATTTCATTCCACATATTCTCATATTTCTCGGTTGCGATACTGTTTAAAGGATAAAAGTAGGTCACCTACATAAAAATAAAATACTTTATTCTTTTTTTTTTTTTTTTACCATTATATGTTACTAAAAGATAAATATACATATATAAATATTAAATTCTCACCCGATTTATAGATCTTTGTGATATTAAACGACGATAATCAGTTTCACTTCCAATTAAAACAGTTTCACAATGTTCTTCCATTTTATCAAGAAGCTTCAAAAATATCTCCCATTGCATACCATCCTAAATAAAGATTAAAAAAAAAATGGGATTTAGTATTTTAAATATATAAAATAAATTAATAAATTATTAATTCTCACTTGATTCAAGTCACTAGGGGCTCTGTTACTAGTGGCAACAAGAACAGTTCCAGTGGTTAACAATCTACTTATGATTCCAGATAAAGCCACAATAGCAAACACATCAACGGTTTGGATTTCATCAAAACATAGAATGCATGATCCTTTTTGGTCAATGATTTGGTCAACGAGGAATTTATCTGCTACAGCTGGAAGAATGTTTTTCATTTGCATCTCTTCTTTGTAGCTTTCTTCTGAAGCTACCCATTCTTTAACTTTAGTGTCAAATGGAAGATTCATTATCCAATTAGCGATGGTTGACTGCATTGACTTTTCCTTTACTTGATTCTTCCATAATTTATGCATTCGCTCGTTTATATCTAACATAGCTTCATGAAAGTGAAATCTCCTTCTATGTGTCACAATTCCTTTGGTGGAATTATAAAACATGTCCATAAGCATTGTCTTCCCTATAAGAATACTAAAAGTAAGATTAAAATTGAAGTTGAAACTTGAAATATAGAAATATTAAGAAATTGAAAGATTAACAATATGAATATATACCACTTCCGACATTTCCATAGATGTATAATCCTTTAGGAGCTTGAGGAACAGTGGGACGCTTTCCAACTAATGAATCTAATTTTCTTTCTCGATTTAGATATGAAACCCATTTCCCAACTCCAGGTTCTACATTCACAGGTTTTTTCCTGAAATTTGGTTGAGAAAATGATTAAAGTTGGGATTTTTCAAACTTTGTAATGATGACTACATACCTATCGAGCCATTTGCCTAAAAATCTGTTGTGTGATTTGTCGAGAGATTCAGTTCTTTGTTGTTTGCTCTTGGCTTCTTTTAGTAAAAGCTTGCGCCTTTCATTCTCACGGTTTTCTTCCCAGTTGGATAGTTTGACCTAGATAAGGTATGAAATAGATCATTACAGGAATTATAAATTGAAACAGGGATATGGTCTTGGGATTTAGAATTACATGATATTCTTGCATTTCTTTCTCATACTGCTGTAATCTTTGGAGTAAGTTATCGAGTTCCAAAGCGACTTTTTCTTGATAAGGATCGAATTGTAGTTGTCCTTCCTTAACAAGATTTTTATACTGTGTAAGTGGACCTGAATTCAAACGAAATTGTATAAAGATTAGAAATTGCAATATGATCAGGTCCCTGGCATTACGATCTACCCCTAAAATCACACTAGTGTATGATTATATGATTATACTTCCCCAATTGAAACAAACACATGCCAATTTAATTACAATTAGATATACCTGGATTCATGGAAGTTGAGAATTGAAGATGATCGGAGTAGATGCGAAGAGCATTGATTCCGAAACAAGAGGTCCGGCGTCGAGCAGCAAACCCTAGAGAGCGAAATGATGAAATTAGGCGACTCATAATCGTTGGCGTCTTTGTGTGAAGAAATGGGGTTTTGTTCTTGGATCATTCGGAAGGAAAGGGCGATCGCCATTGATGGGTTGATTATATAGGTAGAGAAGAGGATGCCAGGTTCCACCGTCTCTGAAAGAAATTTGCAGGGGACGTGGCCAATGGTCCGACCATCCAGTTCTTCCAATATGTTACGTCGCGAGAGCTCATACTGCCTAACAACTACGATGGTACAAGTTTTAATGCACAAAATATACATCAATCACAGATGACATGCCATGGGATAATGATTTAAGAGGTAACTATTAACGTTGTTTACATATTACCAACTTGTTTTTTTTTTTTACCTAATAAACCAACTAACTTGTTTTAACCGTTCATATTATAACATTATTACCGGCTAACTTCTATTTTAACCGGTAAATGCAATTAATTCATTTAAATGAAAAGGAAAAGAAAATATGTGGCTTATGACGTGGCTATTTCACCCTTTGTCTGTATTCGATTTCATTTAAATAGGTTCTAGGTGTATCGATCTAATTTATTTAGGGTTCTTAATCTTAACAACTACTCTCAAATCATTCCCCAAATCGATCCCGGTTACTTAAGTTTTCTCATAATTCAGTCGATCGAAGCAGTAGGAACTGAAGTTGGGACTTGAAATCGTCTAACGATACGTATTTCACTACAATGGAAGCATCTAACGGTAAGTATCTCACTATAGATTTTCACTTCAACGACATGTTTGCACCAAACCCGTTAGTGTACTTAAACCCTATGAGAATGTCAGATCGTGATGTGGATTTTGGTGGCATGGACTATAGAGAATTTGTGTTGTGGGTTTCAAAGCTGACAAGACGAAGCTGTGAGAACTTGTACTATTGTAGTACTCATGAAAGATTAGCAGAGGGTATCAGAAGAATCGACAATGTTGCTGACTATTTTGAGTTTATTAAAGATGGTTACATGGATAAACAGGAGCTAAGGATGAACGTGTACATTGACCACGCCGATAAGGAGTTGTTAACAGGTGATGAGCTGTCTGATGTAATAGAAGATGATGATACAGAGTCATAAATTTCAGATATAAGGGAATGTGAGCATGAACCTGATGAAGAGGTGCATACATTTGACAAAACAGATGATGATGAATTCTTGAACAAGTTGTGTAGTAAACCCATTCTCAATAGTAATCAAGAAGAAGTAAATGATGTTGATGGTGATAAAGATAGTGATAAAGATGATGAGGTTGTGTTCCCTGTCTTTGATGAGAAGCAAGAATGGGATAAAATGGTCCCAGTTTTAGGTATGAAGTTTGCCAACCCTCTTGAATTGAAGCTTTGTCTAACCAATTATGTTGTCAGGAATGGGTATGACTTATGGTTTGAAAAAATGATCATCAAAAGCTGTTGGCAAAATGTTGTAAATATAAGAAGAACAAGAAGAGTAAGAGTTGTCCCTTTAGGTTGTGGGCAACCTGGATGAAGAATGAAAGGTCTTTTCAGATTAAGTCATTAATTGATAGGCATAATTGTGCAAGAGTTTTCAAATTTGGGTCCATTGTAAGCTACAAATGGATTGGAACTCATTTCATGAATGATATAATACAGAAACCAAAGATGAGCATTAGGAAATTGAAAGCTAAGGTCAGTAAAAGGTTTAACCTGATAGCTAGTGTTGGACAATGCAGAAATGCTAGGAAATATGCATTTCAGCAGATAGAAGGTACTTTAATAGAGCATTATGCTAAAACATGGAGTTATGGAGAAGAGCTAAAAAGGACAAATCCTGGATCAACAGTTAAGATGGAGGTGGATGTGATGTCTGATGGAGAAACATACTTCTCAAAGTTTTATGTGTGTTTAAAGGGTTTGAAGGATGGATGGATAGAGGGTTGTAGGAGGGTAATTAGATTAGATGGTTGTTTCTTAAAGGGCATATGCAGAGGTCAGTTGCTAGCAGCCATTAGGAGGGATGCAAACAACCACATATATCCTGTTGCATGGGTTGTGGTTGCAGTAGAAAATAAAGAATCATGGAAGTGGTTTCTTGATCTTCCAATTGATGACATTGGAATGTGAGTTGGGCATGGACTAACCATAATATCAGACCAACACAAAGTAATGTTCACACTTCAATTATTGTTATTTTCCATACTTAGTTTACATACTTATTTTACATACTTAATATGTTTTTGCATATGCTGTTTATGTTTTGATTATAAGAATTAGTTGAAGCTGTGAAGGAAAGGGTTCCAGCTGCAGAGCATAGGCAATGTGCTAGGCACATATGTGCTAATTTCCAAAAAAGATTTAAGGGGCAAATGTTTAAGAAACTGTTTTGGAGAGCTGCTGGATCTACAGTTCCACAAAAATTTGAATACCATATGAATGAAATCAAGAAGTTGGAGCCACTAGCTTATGAACATTTGATGGAAAGGGACCCTAAAACATGGTGTAAAGCATTTTTTTCAGGGTGATATGAGTTGTGATGCATATGAAAATGGTGTTTCTGAAAGGTTTAACTCTGTGATTGAAGCTGCTAGGAAGAAACCACTTATTACCATGTTAGAAGAAATCTGGATTTATGTAATGGAAAGGTTGTGTATATACAAGGCCAAGGGTTAATCTTGGGATTTAAGCATATGTCCATCCATAAGGTTGAAGTTGAATAAGCACAAGGAAACATAAAGGTAAATTCTTATTGCTTATATGTTTGTCATTTTTAATATTTTCTAATTTATATATGATTATGGATAGGTTTTGGCAAGTGGTACCTTCTGGGTATATGCAATTTGAGGTGAGGGTGGGGACTAAAGGGTAATGTTATAGACCTGAATACTATGCAATGTGGATGCAGGGCATGGCAGTTAGTAGGGTATCCCTATGTGCATGGATATGCTGCCATTTCAAGCCTCAATAGGGACCCTAAGGAGTATGTGTCAGAATGGTTTACTACATCAATGTATGCAAGTTGTTATAGGTATAACATTAGGCCACTAAACTGTAGTGCTATGTGGCCTGAAGTGGATTACACCAAACCATTGCCCCCTAAAAAAAGAAGACTACCTGGAAGACCAACAATGAAAAGGAAAAGGGATCAGGTTGAGAGAGAAGCTAAGGGAACAAGGCATACAATCTCAAAAAAGGGAATGATCATGAGATGTACCATTTGTAGGGAAAGAGGACATAACAGATCAACATGTCCTGAAAGACCAAATGATGTACCATCTACTTCAGGTTCTAACAAAAAGAAACCTAAGAAAAAGGTATGGTGTTAAATTATCTAATATATTATACTTGTGTGCCATTTCTAAATTTTTTCCCTTTTATAGGTAAAGTAGACCTTGAAGCTGAATTGGAAGTGGAACATGTTGTCATGTTTAAAAGTGAAAGTGATAGTGACTTTGAAAGTGAAAGTGATGTGGAAGCTAATGTTCCTGAAGTTGATGTTCCAGAACCTGATGTGTAAGGTAAAGTTAATGTTCCTGAAGTTTATGTGGTACCTGAAGTTGAAGTTGATGTTCCTTTAGTTCAAGATAACCCTGTAAGGGAGATTCAAGATGACATTCAAGTTGATGCTAACATAGAAGATGAGATTCAAGCTAACATTGAAGTGGAACATGAAATTGAAGTTCAAGATAATGTGGAACGGGAAATTCAACACAATGCAGAAAATCAAGTTAGGAAGAGGACAAGAAAAACTTCAGAAAGAATAACAAAGATTCAGTTAAGGAAGAACATAAAGAGGAAGGAAGGAAGCAGTATTGACCACCCACTAGAAATTTGAATTCAATGTGTTGTTTTATTTTGCATGTTTTGGAATCTTGGGTCTTGTAATATCGTTTGGCACAATAAGACAAACTTGGGACATCTTTTGGAATATTTTGATACTTTAACATCTTGGGTCCTGTATGTTTGGGAATATTTTGGTACTTTAAGTACATGTTAATTTAAGTACATGTTTACCCTCCCAAGTCATTATCCCCTAATTTAAGCACATGTTTATTTATATGTTTGTATACATTACATGTTTACTGTCTTAATACATCAAACTCCCAAGTTACATGTTTACTATCTTAATACATGTTTATTTATATGTTTGTATACATTACATGTTTACTGTCTTAATACATCAAGTATTAAACATCAAACCTTAGTCATAACTTTCATTGCATACAAAACTTCATGAAGTACATGATTTAGTCAGAACACATCAAAGAAGAATACATCAAACAAGAGTACATCAAACAGGATACAAAGAACACATCAAACTTTAAAAATACATGTTTAACATACAAGAAAAATAACACAAACAATGCAGCTTTATGAGTAAACAACTTCCACTTCACTTTGTCCAATTCTTGTCTGAAAACCAAATCAGAGTTCTTCTCTTCTTCCAACTTCTTCCTGCAATAACTAATTTCGTTTTCCAAATTTCCAAACTTGAATGTTAGGTTGTAGATATGTCCCAAATCACTGTTCTGTTGTTGGTACTCATCGTCTTCCAGCCATTCCGAGAAATTACATCTTGGAGTTCTTGCACTCTTAATGAAAGGATAAAAAAAATTAAATTGAAGAGAAGATGAAGAAGAAGATTCAGTTCCGGGTTGAATAAATAAAACATATTTACCAAAGAATTTTGACAAACTCGAAATTTTCTTCCTGGATTGTTGGGTGTTCTTGAAATCTTCACACGAGATGACATGTTGCACTTACATGGATGGTCAGCTTGGAGTTCGACATTTCGTTTGGAAGAAGCAGATGAAGCAGAAGAAGAAGAAGCCATTATCGATCTAGGGCTTCAACGACAAACACCATCTATATAATAAGTGAGGTGTAAATAGACACGTAACATGCCACGTATAATCTTCTAGAGCCACGTATTTTCTTTTCCTTTTCATTTAAATGAATTAATTGCATTTACCGGTTAAAATGGAGGTTAGCCGGTAATAATGTTATAATGTAAACGGTTAAAACAAGTTAGTTGGTTTATTAGGTAAAAAAAAACAAGTTGTCAATATGTGAACAACACTAATAGGTAGTTACCCTCCTAAGTCATTATCCCACATATTATGTGTGGTTTCTTATTATTATTATTTTTTTTTCACTTTTGTTACACTTTTTTGTTTGTTACATATGTCATGGTACAATTTTTATCAAGTAAGATTAAAAAATTTAAACAATAAAGACTTAAAAAATCAAAATTAGACAATAAATACAAGACGCAGTAGTATTATTTGTATGGTTTTTTGCTTAAATCTAAAAAATGAGCCAACAAAATCGCATATGAAGCCATGAATTCTACGATTTCGTTTTTCATTTTACCTTTTTTACTGCTAAGTTTTTTAGCATGCAAACAAAAGACTAGATGTCAGTGTAACTATATAAGCTAAATGTCATAAATTATGGAAATTACTTAGCCGTTTAAATGGTCCACGTTGTGAATTATTCGCAACGACTGCATTCGAACATTGGCTGAAAGTACTGGTATTGGTAGGTGATCCCACTTAATAACGAGTCAATAACTTTATATGTCGATTGGGCTAATGTTGATTATGTAAGTATATTTTCTTTTTTACAAACTTTAAACTAATTGTAATTTAGAATTTCTAGTATAATGTTCAAAAAATTATACGATCTTGTTTCCCATTAATTATAACAATAGTGAATGGGGTATCGGTTACCTTGACTTGAAGACATTGACATTGAATATTTATGTAGTGTGATTTCAATAGGTCGTAACGATAAAATCTTGGAAAACTTACAACATTTCGTAGATTATTTCAACGATTAGTTAAGGTCTATAGATAACCGAGTAGACTGGACAGGAGACAATCGATGTGCAGTTAAATGTTATTTTTCTCAAACATCTACTATAACAAGGTAATGATGTGGTGTCTCTGTTTGTATGTGTTTAGCGTCGTTGAGTAGTAGTAGAAGTGTGGCAATGAAATGAAATGAAAGAGATCATGTAAATGGCAGATGTTGGGATTATTGTATGCTAATGCCTAAGAGTTGTGGGTGACAATTTGGCCAATTGCGTCGTGTTTTATAGCTGACATGACATGAATCGACAATTTTTATATGACACGAACACGATACAACACGAAGTCGTGTTTTCTTTTACTAACATGAAAACGACCCAATTAAAACACAATAAAACGAACAACACAACAATACACGGTAAAGATAAAGTAAAATAAATCTTTAGTTTAATAATTCAAATTTAATCTTACAAAACATGACAGTCACATGTTAATATTTTATTAATTTCGTGTCGAATCTTGAACACGAACACAACACGACATCATGTTTTTTACAATTGATATGAACACGAATTTGAATATGAATTTCATTTTATGTTATGTATTTTTGTCGTGATGTGTCATAGATTGTCACTCATATTAAGAATATTTAGTCACATGGTGGACAATGAAGTTTACATATTTTCATTTTTTGATTTTTTAAAAGATAAAGTCATTTAAATATTGCAACATATGTTACATTATTTAACAACTAACTATACTTCGACCACATGTCCGTAGATTGTAGATTGTAACAAATACATTGTTCTTTCGTGTAAAACATTATCTAATTCTAATAACATCTTTAAGATGGTCTCCTTCAATTGTAAGTTTATCAACATCCTTAACGACACTATTAATCCATTTTCGATAACTTTTATTTCCTAATTCCTAGCATTTGTGACCCATTTGATTCTTTCTTTAATCTCTCCTAAGAGAGCCTCTACACTTTCATGAACTATCTAGTGGTTCTATTATATATGAGTCCATTTCTTGATCTTTTTTAGTGTTTTCATAGCTTCGAAAATATAATTGGCCATCTTAGGTGGAAATGGTTTACAAGATAAAATTTTGGATCATCTAGGTCAACATCAAGGAATGGAATAAGAATATAACAATGGCATTGTTCGTCTTCACAATGAAATAACTCAGAATCGATGAAGCCTTCAAATCATTTCCCTTATGTAGATTATTAATAGTAGTTTTAAAAGTAGATTATATTTATCGTTAAAAAAAATGGTATTTGGTTGATAGATATTCTTAAAATATGTTGATTTTAGTGAACTCCCCATAAACTATAACACCAAACTATGTTGGAAGTGTTGTACACCAAAATTGTTGGTAAATGACTTTATACCCTAATTCCTACACTCATCAAGGAGCCAAAAATGCCGCAATAATACAATCGTGTTAGACGAATGCATATATTATTGCATCAAGTACAACAAATCAATGCATAGTTGCATACAGCCAATAACCATTACATTCAGGGAGCTAATTGTAAAGTGTGAATAATGAATCAAAAAATGGACAGAAAAATAAAAAAGTATATCAACTTTCCATAGAAAATTAGAAATACATGAACAGATTTTCTACAGAGATGTATAACTTACGCAGTGAAAGTTGTACCTCAACTTCACTGCCTGTCCAACGTGCATACAAAAACAGCCAACCGCCGGACAGTGTATCCTACTTCCGGCCAACAATGCGCCTTCCGATCACCGGAGCACAATAAATTGTACAATACAAGTTCCCGATGAATTCAATTTCCGTTACTCTTGTCATCGCAAACTGTGTTTTTTTTTTCAAATTTCCCACTTCCAGAACCATATCTGCTGTCTTTGGGTGCTAAGTACAAGTCATTGATGCATCTGTCTGCAACAACGAACATGGCGCCGGAGAAACACCATTAACGAAACCAGATATGTGTTCACAGTTCCATTTCACCGTCGCCGGTAGACCCAACAAACTAACGTTTCTCATACATATTCCCCCAAAAGGAGCACCTTCGATCCCCAACAGCATAGGGGCTTTTCTCGAACCAAAACTCACCAAATTCGTTATAAGTATACGATTTATCCTCGGAAGAGCTTTCCGATCCCAGCCGTCGTCAGGGTGGTCATCGGCGCCACGGCTGAACCTTAACGGGACCTTAACATTCTCCATTACAACATTCGTAATCGTGATGTTTTCGATATACCCACCTCTACCTTTATCTGTCTTGATTCGAATCCCAGCTGCTGAATTCCGAATGTGGAGATTCTCCACTCTGATGTTCGAAATCCCGCCGGACATTTCACTTCCGATCCCGACTCCTGAACACGTCGGAGTGGTGCCGGAGACTCGCCGGATAATGATGTTGGAGCTTGGTCGAGCCATGGAAATGCCGTATTGATCCCACCCGCTTTTCACAGCGACAAGATCATCTCCACTTTCGATGTAACAATCTTCGATGCAGACGTTTGTAGATGAATCCGGATCTATTCCATCGGTGTTCGGAGCATTTAGTGGAGCTAATATCGTCATGTCTTTAATTACAACATTACTGCAAATAAAAGGAAAAATTTTAAAGATCGAAACTTGAAAGCTTTGATTTTGAAAAGTCAAAGAGGGTCAAACCTGCAGTAAACAGGATGAATGGTCCAAAAGGGTGAATTGCGAAGGGTAAGATTGGAAATTAAAATGTTTCTTGAATTCATGATTTCAAGAAGGTGGCCTCTAGTGTGTTCCAAAGTTCTATTCCACCATAGGTCCCACCACATTTTACCACGTCCATCGATAGTTCCATTTTGCCCTTCAAAAAAAAAAAAATCAACTTTTTGACTTTTTGTGGTCTATGAATCGAATTTAAGATTCAAATTTGATAAGGGTTTACTTTAATTTTGTATAAAAAGAAATTCTTGATGAACATGATGAAAATACAAATCATGCCAAATTTTGTTTCTAAAAAGATTCCTTTGATTGTAACCCTTTGATCTTGAACATGGGATTATTCTAGAACTGACATAATTTAAAAAATAAATAAATAAATAAATAGTAACCAAAGTAGACTGACTATCTGGGTTATTAGAAGAACTTATTCGTTAATAAAATAGTATTTAAAAGCATATTGAATTATAGGTATGATTCTCTTTGTAGTGTGAGAGATAGGTATGATATGAATATTTCGGCATAAAAAAAAAATAATAATCTTGTGGTTCTCTTAATAAAGTAATGCTAAAGGTCATGATTTTCCACCACATATTAGTATTTATATAATTAAAGAACCAAAGAAGTAATAATGACAATAGTTAATTAGTGGCTAGATTTGTCCATGGCAACGACAAGAAAAAGTTAACATAATCCTTAAAAATCAAATAATTCATCATGAAAACCAATAATACCCCCAAAAAAACATTATTAATTTAGTACACTCCATTTGTTCCACAAAGTATATCTGAAAGTAGAAATAAAACCATGCCAACTTTAGGTTAAAATATGAGAAATTTAACAAATAATAATAATAATAAATCAAATGCACCACAAATCATTGATAGAAAATAAAGATGTGCAAAAGGGAATATGTGTTACCTGTAATGACAACATTTGTGAGACCATTACCATGAATGAGGCTTATATGTCTCCCTCCCAATCTTTCTCTCCCTCTTCCATAAGAAGGTAATGGTTCAATAATTGGCCATTCCTTTGGATCCTAAAACTCAAACAAAACATCAAAATTAATAAATTTATAATAAGTAAAAATAAAAAGGTAGCTTTACCCTAGAACTTCGAACCCTAAAAAGGTTGATCAGATCAGATCACATATCATGTGATATGTAAAACAGATACACATACACGATTCGGTTTTGTTTGCGTAACGAAATGTGGTAAATATAATATGAGATACATGGGTAGTGGAATTGTTGAAGTACAATAACTATTTTCAAAAAAAAAAATTGCAAAATTGGTAGTCTATTTTGGGAATAATTTACAAGATAGCACT